CGCTCTTCCGATCTCCCCAAAACCCCAAAACCCCATGTATTTGGATAAATCAAGTTGCATTAGAATCAAATTAAAATCCAGAGTTAAATAGTTATTTGTTAGCTGGGTTATATATTATTCATCTAAATTGAACTGTACGCTTTTTAGCTAGTGGTGGACTGTCCTTTGAGTTATTCTTCTCATCAATGACTCTTATTTTGTAGCTAGCATTTATACCAGATAGAATCTGGCCATAACTTTATGTATTATCTTTATTGGGAGAGTTTGATAAGGACTTATTAATATCAAGATCTGGTGTGAAAGTCTGTAGTAGATCAAATCTACTGCCTTCTTCTCCAGACTCTATAAAAAAGCTTTGAGACTGGTCTTACTGGATTTTGCTTACTGAGATGACTTTTCTTTCTTTGAGCTTAGTCCTTTTTATGGCAGCTTACTCTAGCTAATATTTGGAGTACTTCTTGTCAGTCTCAATTAGTCTCACTGAGTCATCATTATCTGAAATCAAGAAGTTATGATCCTGACTCCCATTTCTATCTAAATGATCTTCATGAGAGGAGTCAGAAGATTGCTCTTTAACTGCTGGAGGGTGTTGCTGATTACTTTCTTGTGATAATTTCTGCAAGGACTCTCCTTTCTTCCCTCCTGAGTCTCTTCTTTATCTTTCCTCATCTGGATTAGAAGCAACTACAGTATTATTGGCAATATTAATGTTGCTCTCTCTGGGCACAGCCAATAGCATATTAGCATTATTAGTTCTATTCTGCCCTGATAAATTAGAAGTCGGTTAAAACTCTAAAACTTTTATCTTCGTAAAATTACTCATAAGTTAAGTGACTTTTTTATTAAGAGTTGATTGTATAGTTTAACTGGCTGAATTGGCTGTTGCTATAATAGTACTGACTGGATGAGTATGAGTTTAGCTACTACTAATGACATTTGAATTCTAGGTGATCTAAGAGTTAGAATTAAACAGGAACTTTACAGGCATGGTCTATCTAACTGCACTGTTACTGCTCTAGCTAGAATTATTGTTATTCTTTTTAATCATGACTGTATTTGATGGGCCTTAATTTTTGGAACCTTAAACATTGTGACTGGAGGGTTTGTGTGCTATAAATCATTAGAGATTATAAAATATAAAATTTACTGTGATTGCTTAAATGAGATGCAGATTCCTATCTGATATTTGATCTTGAACTTTGACTTTTGAGTTTCTTTTGCATTCTTAGTCTATCATCATTTTTCTTTTGCAATGCGAGGTTCTTGCTAAGCTTTGATAACTTGTAAATTCTCCACCTTCTTAAAATCTTTATTGCAAGTTGTGTTTCGAGATTCATCCTCACGTTGTCGAAGTATTAAAAATTCTTCTTTAATTTTTCTCTTTATTTTAGTTCCGCTACATATCTTCTTGCCCTAGTAAATCCAATTTTAAGTAATAGTTTTAAGCTTACAAATAGCCTCTGAGATACTTCTAAACTTTAGATGATGATTTGACTTTATTGATGCTCATTGCATTAGGTATTATCGTAAAAAGTCTATATCTTTTCCACATTTTTTAAATGCACAATGCACTAATAACTCTATCCTTAACGAGACGTCTAAACTTCCTGCGATTCAAAAACATTCTAAACCAGCATTAGATTTTCATGGCTGCCTATATCTCCTTATTTTTATTATAGAGTGTCGCTAACTTCACATGCAACTCAGATGTGCTGCACCTTGAGTTGAAATTTTATGGTATACTCACTAATTTTTATGTTAAATTGTAAAAGATACCATTTAGTGACATCTAGTATGTTTAGATTAGATTCTACTTTCTCTCGAAGGAATTGTATCTCTATTTATACTTCTCGATCTTCCTCTCTTCTTTTTATTTGATTTACTGCAGTCTCTCGATCCTTCTTGTTGCACTCATTATACTTTCATCCTTGAACATCTGACCTGAGAACCCCTATAAATTAGATTTATCTTAGACACATCAATTCTAATTGATATTGAAAATCGTACACTACTGAATTTATAGCTTCTTGAATAGCTTTTTAACAAATTTGGTCCAAGACTATGCATTCCAAAAGATTTGTCTTGATTTGACTAACTTTGCAGCTCGAACGGAGGTATTTCTCTGGGACTATTGAGGTTTGTGTAAAAGCATTTATTTTTTCTGAGCAATCTTCTTTACTATCAGTTTGCTTATTCAATTGAATTTATTGCGGTTGCCGTTGTAGCCATATTTGAATCCTGACCTTGCTAGCTTTACTTTAATGCAGGCAATACGAATTACGCGCTCTTTCTCGTTAATAAATCTTAATTTTTCTTTTGAATTAGAAGTTTTAAGTTCATAAATGGTTCTGATTCATTTAATGGTTTTTTATTGTCATAAGTATTGCTTTAAGTTCTATCATTTCTAGTATAATACTTTTCCTTGTTGGTATTATTTGTGAGAGGTGCTATTTTCATTGGAGAAGCCATTCGATACTAGATAAACTTGTTGCTCTACTATACAGGAGAAAAATTAATGTTTCCAATAGAGCCAAAAATATTTGATGAACTTCTGTGCTATTGTGGCTATCTGATTAAGCTCTGAGAGAATATTCGCTTATCCATTATGAAATTAAAGTTTATAATAATTAGAAAAATTTATATTCACTGATCACTTTAATCCATCAATTGGACTATATCATGATTGTTCTAAGAGTCGATTATAAAAACTTATTAATCTTAACGTTCGGAACTCATTATATGTCATTGAATTTGACTGCTCAAGCCACTTTTTCTGTTTATGTTATCCAAGATAGAAGTACCTTCTTAAGGAACTCTGGTCGCTATAGGTATTTTCACGACTTCAACCTACCTTTCCTAATGAAATTTAGTTAAAGCTTCACTGCTTATGATTGTGATAAGATGTTTCTCATGATTACTAGTACTCTTCGGGGAGACTTCCTCTCTCTAGCCATTTAATTATATTAGTTTTTGAGAAGTGTCCTTCCTAGGTAACTTTTAAGAGGATTACTTGCTTTTATTTTTATTTATAGATATTTGATGTCCATGCTAAGGGTGGAGCTTTAGTGGTTTAGTAATAAATTTAGTTGGTAGTTTATTTGGAAAAGCTGCAGTTGGATTGTTGATGAGTATGGAGAGCGTTTAATCGTAATCAACTTGCAATACTTTTTAGTTATTTTATTTCTTTGCTTAAGTAGCAGGGTTGCCACCTTAATAAGCTTATAGCTTTTTTAAACTTCTGATTGGACTCAATGAGTTTGGCTGATAAGGAGAATTGATATAAGTTGGATTTACCTAGGTTTTACTTCCATTATATGTATCTATTGGTAATTCGATTGGTTTTACTTGCTTTTTAGACTACTGCACATTCAGATTGTCATTATTCATACTCATAAAATTATGAATTCTAAAACTGTCTTAATCAGTCACAATACTAGCTCTTAATAAATTATCTTATTTAGATTTCTTGCCTCTTATCTTGCTATGTTAAATAGCATCATTAGTACTTTAAATTCTTGAATTTTGATCTATCTTTGGTAAAACCAGTGGTTGCTAATCTATGTAATGATCATACTGAGATTTGAATCTCTGATAGTTCTAGTTTCGAATAACTTTGGCTATCTTTTAATTTTGAAATTGATACTGAGAATGCTAATCATCATCTTAAGGTTTATCTTGATAATAGTTAATCTAAGTTTATTAATCTTAATTAAAGGGCTTTAAGGCTGAATTGTAGAGTTATATTGATTTAGGACTCTGAGAAAAATTGAATTTTAGATTTAATTACTCATAGGAATCATTTCTAAGCTCAATGCCCTGATTTGTTGAACGATGAGAATCTACATTTTTCTTTATTTTATCATACATTTTCTGCATTTTCTAAACAACTTCTAATCTAGATTTTTCTTATTGAATCAGCCTAAGATTTTTTTTCATGTTTACCTGAGGTTTAGTTGCAGCTAAGTTTACTATAGGAGAATTCTTTTCTTTTATAGGAATAAGTAAAGACTAAGCAGGTTTAGTTAGACTGACTTAGTTTTCAAATGTAATGTTAATGTTATGAAATGAGTTGACTTTTTATAAAGCATGAGCTTACGAATGTCCTTAATTCATTGGAGACAAATTAACTGATTCTTAAGTGACCTGAGACAATTTTCGATACTGAGAATTATTGTTTGAAAATGAGTTGAAATTTCTTTGTCTTGTTAGATCAACCTAATCTGTCTTTATGTTTTTGAGATAGTCTTAGTATACCTCGTTTGCTTTTTAGTTAAATGATTAATTATTTCTGATTGGCTAAACTTCCTCATAGATTGGGCTTTAAACCTATAGTATGTTTTCTTTCGAGCTAATGGATTCCTAACTTAAATCCAGAAGGGAATATGGGTTGAATTGATCAGTATTTTTTTATATAAGCTATTCTGTCTCGTGTACTATCTATGAAAATTAATCAAAAGGCATATATTCCTCTTCTTAATTATTAGGGTCATCATATACTGTTGAGTTGTCTCCTATAACTTTACCTTAGGATTGTTTATAGTTGTACTAAAAGTCAGCTTCACCTAAAAGCTTACTGCTTGGTGTAAGTCTGCCAAGCGTCTGTTACTGAGATTACTGGCTATCCATAATTCTACTGTACTTTTTCCATTCTGGACTCTCAATCTTAAATTTGATCTTCATAGTTAGTGGCTGCAATTTAATGCCATCTGACTTGAGCTACTTTTCCCCAGATGTTATCAGAGTTGACTCATCTAGAGATGCTTTTTTATTAGTCAAATATTTTGATATCAAATGAGGAACTTTAGCTTTACTTGGCTTAGGATTTATATGCATTTAATGGTTATTGGTAACTAGAAAATCTAAATCTAATAAATGCTGCTTTGATTTGATTGCTTCAAAATTTTTCAGAAGCCTTTACTATTGTACTGCAATCTAATTTTCTTCCATGATATTATTTGTTCTTGTTAGCAATAATTATTTTAACAATAAAGGGAAAGTAGTTATTAAAACATTAAAGCTTATTTTATCAAATTAAGATCATGATATTTAATTATTTCATTTTAAAATAAAAGTCAGCATTTCAATCTTAATCTGCAATAGTTTGAGAAAATGAACACAGTAGAACAGCAAATATGGAGGGAAAGAGTCAACAAGGAGCTTGGCGCTTCTTAAAAGTAATGTCATAAGATTATATAACAAGTTAATGATAGATTCCAAAAAGTAGGAGTGCTGAATGCAGAGACGACACAGCTATGCAATAATTATTCAGTCATGAGGCCTTATGTCAAAGATAATTCCTCTCCTCAGCAGCTGAAGAAAAGAGGGTTTTACATGGTTGACTCAAGTTATACTATTCCTTGCAATCCCAATTCAATGAGAGATCATGGGCCATTAAGAAATGCAGAGTATGTCATTTAGGATCCAGCAGAGGAAGAATTCTTGAGAAAATCTCAATAGTCATTCAGAAACACAGGATCATTCTCAATGGTCAATATAAACCCAAGAGAGGTAGATAAGATGAGGGATACTTTAAATTCGAGATGTGGCCATATGAGACCTATATCGTCTTATGGGGGTAATCCAGCTATGATGAACGGAACACACACAAATAGCTTTTTCTCAAGTATCTCTAAGTAGTCATTCAACAGGCCTCCAAACATCATAAACAAAGTAGAAGTGGTGAGAGTAAATGATTATACCAAAAACATATCAAGTTCAATCTTCACCCCTTCACTAAGAGACACTAACTATGGCAGAAAGCAGGAGAAAAGATAGCAAAATGCTCATGAGTACCTTTCACCTCAGAAGAATCATTACTAAATGAAAAGAAGCAGCTCTCAACTTTCAGGTATTAAATTAGACTAAGACAAAAGAAGAAAAATTAATGCTTCAACCCTTCAAGCATAGATACAGCAAGAGAAAAAGGTAAGGACATTTTTTAAAATGTAAAATGTATTATAGAGAAGAGAAATGCTTGAAATGGAGGTAAGGAGTTTAAAGGATCAGATGTCCACCATCTATACAATGGCTAGTTCCTCTAAAATTTAAAAATGAGATGATACCTATACAAGCAAGTCAAATTGCTGGAATCAGCACAGTTATATTTAAGTCTTTAGATTACATAGATTATTCGAACAGTTTAATCTTTAATACTTCCAATAACCAGCTTAATGTTGTTATAATGGCTTTAAGGGGTTTTGGGGTTTTGGGGAGATCGGAAGAGCGTCGT